CTCTTTTCTTTTTAATATTTTCTTTATCAGTTTATATCCTCTCCCAACCCAGGTTCTTGTTTGTAAGCTAATTTAACAATTAGTGAACAAACTTGTAACAATATGAAATGTAAATAAAAAAATCTTAACTAATTAAAATATAAATATGTGTTCTCAAAATTATCTAATAAGATTAAATGATAATTTTGACTAATAATTAATATGAAATTTTATTATACAACAATATACTTTAAAATATCTGAATTCATTTTTTGTTAATTTAGTATTTCAGTATGTAAGAGGACAGAATTGAGACTATTTATTATTAAAAATATTATTAATCTTTCTAGCTCATTATCTTTGACTTTTTAATCTCTAACTCAAATAAAAATATCCTGTTTCTTAGAATTAGTTCAAAATTATTTTTTATGCATTAATATTTATAAACAAAGTTCAGTATTGAAGACACATATTTCTTTCATTATTTCTTTATAAAATATAAGATATAGTTATATATAATATTGATATATGCTGAAAAAGATAGATGACTTATAAACAAGATACATATTTGTTACAATAAAATTTGTTGCAATAAAATTTATATATGATTTCATTATTATTTTTGTAATATAGTAGAATATGAAAAAGTAAAGTATTTCAAGTTCAGGTATTGATATTTATAAGTATCTTTTTATTATAAAATTGCTCATATAGATATTATTATAACAATTACTTATAATGATTGATAAAGTATATGAAATCAACAAATAATCAACTATAATATATCTCTGTGATTGTCATATGAATGAAAAATCTATTTCAGACATATAGTATTTTTGAATATAAGTATTAAAACTTGTTCAAGCACATGAGTGCTCTTATTCATAAATAAATTATACTGGTAAATAGTGTTTAAAAGATGTATATATTGATAATAAATCATTTTTACTAATAATTATTATGTGTTTACTATATAATAGCAAAATTATAATTTAGAGCTAATTCTAAAGAATTTATTTGTAGCAATATTTATATATAAATCATTTGTATATATATTATGATTTATTTTTGACATATAAAATTTATTTCAGATATATGGGATCTATTTCAGATGTATTATAAGCATATGATTTAATTTTTCAGTGATAAGAGTATATGATATCTATCATTTGAAATCACCAAATTCAAAATATACAAATCTGAAATATATAAATTCAGTTAATTATACTACTTTTACATGAAAAAAAGTAAATAAATATCTATTATATAATATATATTTATATATCTATTATTTTGATTGATTATAATACTATAAATGCACCAATTATGAAGCTTTTTCAAGATTATTCATAAATAATAAATTGGAATTTTGTATTTACACTGGTTAAAGTATGGTTGAAGTGCAGTTAAAGTGCGGTTGGTAAAATAATTAATTATATAATATATTATATGATAATTATAATCAAAATATGGTTGAAGTACAGTTAAGATGCAATGATACACAATATTTAATATGTGTTAAAGACACTAGATCTGCTATAAAAACATTGCAAAATCTTTATCTAACTTTCAAATATTATTAAAAATAGTCAAATAAACAGATGCTTAAATCTGTATACTCATTGATGAATATAGAAATAGAAATGAGGAATATCATAATTTTGAAAGGAATTGAACTGAATTTTGAACTAGCATTACAATTAGAATTAATCAAAATCACAATACGAGCTTTAATGAATATCAATATAAAGAAAAATTTATGAATCTTGTTCAGGATTATAATGTAAGTATGATATATTAAGATTTTTTTTCAAATTTTTTTGCTTATATCTTAGCTATTATAACTAATAATTTATGTCAATTAGTTAATATGCGATTATATAGTAGAAAATCAAAGAGCATAAAACAATAAAATGAGTGCACAATACTTTAATGAGTTTCGTACGCATTTTTGAAAGAGATCTGAAGATGAATTTGATAGAACTCATATTATTAATATCACAAACTGTAAGTGAAATAGAGATATGGGAAATATAATATCAGCATTATCTATTGAAAAAGTTTCATCGATGCTAAACAGGAATCACTGTGAATCTCCTACTGGTCAAAGAGATTGATCTGCATCTCCAACCCGAAGAACTTCCAGCAGAAAAGACAAAACTACCAATCAAGATAATGCAAGTAATTTGGGTGGAGATTTAGGTAACAACACAAATAATATGGATGAAAATTCAAGCAATAACATAAATAATGTGAGTAGAAATTTAGGTGAAAATTTAGATAATGCTACATCTTCATCTGAGTTGGTAATATTACCTCATTTCTTGCATCACGAAATAACAGTAATGTTAGTATGTTTGATGTTGGAGATAGTCAGTCACCTTCTTATATGAAATCTATAAACGAGAAGGAAGATCTGTGAAACAGAATGTTAATATATCTAGATTTCGTTCTGCTATGCAGAATTTCGTTTGAAAAAGTAATAGCGAAGCTAGTGTCTCTGACACACTTTTGCCAAGAAAAAATAAAAACACATAACTGTGAGACAAATCTGTCCCGGGATATGTCCAGTAATAAAATCGAACAAATGTTCGATCAACACATCACATGCGATCACCCGGAAAAATTTCTGTCGAAAAGTAATGTGATACACGCATTGTGATACCGAATACATTTCTCACATATCTGATTTGGAAAAATCGTTTTTTGTTTTTTTCCTTGTGTTCCCATCACAATCCACCAATAACATCCCACCAAAAAATCATATATAGTCGACCACTTCAACTCCAGCTTCCGCTTCTAACAATGCGACCGAAGAAAAGCAGGCTCCCACTTTAGCTGAAGTGGTTAGAAAGTTGGACACAGAAAATCTTATCGAATTTTTGCGTGGGGAAGAAGACTTGCAACTTAACGAAACTCATTTCGAAATCTTACGCAAAGAGGAGATCGCTGGTCGAGATTTCCTCAAATTGACCGAGGAAAAACTTCGTAGCTATGGTATGAAGGGTGGGCCTGCCTCAAGAATTGTGGAATTTGCCAAGGAGGTCAAGGAGAAAAATTGAGAGCGTTTTCGTCGTACCGCAGTCTGAGAGAAGTGTTATTAAACTATGGTATGGTATTGAATCCATCCCGCTATTCACACTCCCGACCTATGAGATTCAAGACAATGATAAGCATTTTACACATTGCATGGCTGAGATCTTAGTCCGGCTGAGAGATTACGGGTCATTACTCGTCGATAGTTTAGAAAGCATGCGAAACGAATACGTTGTGGCATTACTCCACTCTGCCCTCCACATCGTACGGGACGACACTCAAAAAGAGTTTAGTATGAGACCGCAATATGAAATTACGGGAGAAAAAAGTACAGGCCGAGTCGATTACGCAATCAAGGTATATTTTTTCGTATGGTTAACATGTAAAAGCCAAATAATTTCTCATATTCATTTCCACGCTGATAATAGGAAACCGAAGATGTGATTTGTATCACAGAGGATAAACAGCACAAAGTCCCTATGGGATATGCTCAGAATATTGCCCAACTCGAAAGCTCATTCGAGACGAACAAGAAAAAACGAGGCATTTGACTTTGATTACCTATATGGTATTGTCACAACAGGTAAATATTGAATCTTTAGTCATATTTTTTAATGATTACATTGCTCAGAATTCTTTATAAATTCTAGGAAGGGATTGGCACTTTCTCTTATATAGCCCTAACCAAATTTCGCAAGGCAGTAAGTTGCCATATACCATCGAATTCACCGAAGATGCTTTGAAAAAAAGGTATTGGGTGTTATCGTGGCTTTGTTAGAGGATCGCGCTTGTGTGGGAAAGTCTCCTACCACTAAGAGAGCTAGGGTTGAGGGGTACCGCGCCAAAAAAATGATGTAATAGTTAGGGGTACTTCGTAATTTATAAAGAAATGAATTTTCACACGTGATTTTTTGATTGCTGACGCATTATCAGTTGCTTCATCTTGATTGGGTGATACCACTTACCACGCTTCTTTTTTCGTGAAAGTAAACGCTATTCGTCTTGAGTAGGATATCGGCTCTAGGATTATATAATCCTAACAGCTCGTCGAATAGTGTTGCTTTTGTACGTTTTTGCCTATTAGTTAATACACCACGAACTTTTTTATTCCACGTTTTTTCACTGTCCATTGTGGGAATTAGAGCAAGCAATGGACGCGTTAAATAGTAAACGAAACAAATCTATCCTCTCGAAGGCCTCGAAGCGGAATATGCGAAAAAAGTTAATACGATAACCAAAGAAGGCGAAGATCGAGGAACTCGCCAATATAACAATGGTCAAAGAATCCACCACTAATTTCGACACCGCTCACAACGAAAAAACTGAGATTTTCTATAATAGTGATAAGGTAAGTTAAAGTATATGGTTAGAGGAGTATTTTTAGCAGGTGGAGAAATATTTTTTGATACTACCAGGCCTAGCGGGAACAGAGAATATGAGTAGTCATAGCCTTTCGAGGTAGGTTTAGGGACCGACTATTCCCTCCCTCTTCGTCTTTGCCTCTCTGTGGCTCGAATTACAGATCCTGTATAGATCATGGATTTCACGTGTAAAATAAAAATGCTGTACATCATGTGAGATTATTATCTAACGCACATGACAAATCCAATTTTTTATCATAATAGATCGTGCACGAGAGATGCTGACGAAAATTAAGAGAAAAACCGAAAAAGACCTTACAAAAAATATGATAACTGCTTTTTCATATACTACAAAAGAGATTGACGAATTTTCATTAACGCTGTGAGCACTGTCCGTCTCCCATCAGGTTCTGCGAGATTGAAACCAGTTCTCAGCCCATTTGCTCTCGGCCACCGCTCTATCATGATTGATTGTTGTTGTGGCAAACCGATAAGAAGCTCCTCCAAATACGTCGTAGGAATTACAGCTTTATAAAACGTAACATATGTAGAAATCACACGGACTGCATATATGGTTTGATCTTTCCAATCTTGCTTGTCAACAAAACGTGTATTCTCATTTCCACAGGCGAGCATCTCCAAGGCGATTTGTGATTCCCCATAATCAGTGTTTGCCTTGATATTTTTCAGGTGTTTGTCCTGTTAAAAAGTTGTTGAGTCGACAAATATGAGAACTTTTCAAGCAATCAACAACATACAGACCTCTACTCCGATAAAAATCGAGTTTCTATGTTTAACTACGAATTCAGGGACTGATGACACGCAAGGCTCTTCTTCAATGTATAATTTGTATGGTGGGTGATTCCTGGATTTTAGAATGCAAATTTTAGAATGATTGGAGTGCACCACAATAAAAGACTCAATGCTTACACACCTGATCTTTAAGGGCCAGTCATTCAGCTCGACGATACGAAGTAGATCGTCCACTAATGTGTCAGTAAAAGTTTCGTCCGTGCCTGCCACTTGAAAACCATTGAATACGACGTCATGCAATTTGTCAACAAACGATTGAACCTTAGGATCCGAGATGCATCCAAATTCGTGAACATCGAAGCTTGGATTTCCAAGTATTTTACCATTGATGTGAGGAAGAAAATACTGCTCCGGAAAGTGGGTGACTGGGTATATATTTTAAATTATAAGTATTATTTGTTGAGATAATCGTTGATACTACGTAAGTTCGCACCTTCAACTGGAGGAATGACAGCGTCCTCGTTTAAAGCCGGTGCAAAGCTCACTTTCAGTGGGTCAATATCTCGTATTGTAAAATTAGACGCGGAGGGAGGGAGGTTGAAAGTAGATAGGGAAAAGACTCTTGGCCGGAGAGTACGTGAGGCAGGACGAAAATTTTTCGTAAAGAGACTGAGCAACGAGGACATTCTTGAACAAAAAAAAATACGCTTGCGTTGTAAAAAAGATCGTAATAAAAAAAAGCGTGAGAACTAATCTGTATATGCATGTCTGCGAATCGATTTTGGGTTAGCGCTGATGCATCAGGTGACACCGCGTCGTGCCCTGACCCATCCACGCATGGATCATTTTTTCTGTTCGATCGCCATTTAACTGAACATGTGTGTCACACATCTGATTCTCGTTTCATGCTACGATAAATCGTCACAAATTTAAATAAATCTGCAAATATATAAAACACATAATATAAAACATGTCTTCCGAACAGATTTACTCAGACAAGAAAATGCAAAACTTATGGGTGAGAACGCTTCGCTCTTGGCTAAGGAAGCAGGGCTTATGGCCAGAATTGTGAAGTTAGAACAGACCGCCAAAGAAAATGGCGAGCTTAAGGCCAGAGTCGCGAAATTGGAACAGACTGCAGAGGAAAATGCTCAGCTTAAGGCTAGAGTCGCGAAATTGGAACAGAAGCAGCTACAAAATGATATTTCTTCCAATACTGGTTCATCAAACTCTAACCCCATATCATCAGAAGATAAGGAGATCGATGAATTCCTGGATTCGAAGTATAAGGAAAAGGTTAGTAATGAGATAAGAGATAGAAACAGAGAAAAAAGGTTTTAGCGCGAATCGACTGGAAATCAAGCCCAAGACTTATCGCAATTTTATGAAATTACATCCAGATATGGAGTCATGACCCCAAGTTAATCATAATATAAAAACCGTTCTCTCAGGGAATGATCAAAGTCATGTAATTTTAACAGAGCCACCTTCGTTGCAACTGAAGTGTCTGAATTAGAACAGGATGATGAAATTGATAAAAACCAAATCATTGAACAAGATTTAATACAAGAATTGCATTTACCTACTAAAGAAAATGACAGCTCTATCAAAATTAGCAACTCCGGCGACAAATCAGGGAACATGTCTTTGGAGGAATTGATAATTGTTTCCTTTGAAAATTCTGCCCAACATTTGTCTCATTTATTTAAAACAGCAATCAAATCAAGACAACAGGAAATCTTAAACTGGTATT